GGCTATATAGTTTGTCAATATTGATTCCTTAAATAAACATACATATGGAGGTGGGTAAGCTGTCTAAGGCGCAAGCGAGTTTGAAGTTCCGGGATCGAGCCCACCTGTGACCGGGTGCAAAAACCTTGGTGTCAACTTTGTGTGCAGACTCTTTCAGTGTTGTCACAACCCCTATTGTACAATACACAACCCTGTGCACTTAAAAGAACCCACGAATCCGTTGGTATATCACCAGATGGTGGCCACATGAATATGTGCAAACACCAAGTTGCGGGTACAGCAACGTGTGTAAACCTTGGATATGTACTATGACTATGTGTCCCAGTCCACTCAGCTGTAAATGGGTACCACGTAAGGATGGGAAAGCCACATTTACTCGGTGCGCCCATTGGCTGCAAGAGTTGTATGCTCACCAGGGAGTTGAGATTGATAATACGATGTGCCGTTTGAGCATGCAATGTTCAAGGGAAAATCAAAGCGCCTTTGGGCAGCTGAGCTGGGTACTGGCGCTATACAAATGTTAGTAGAATAATTTTTTATACGATGTGTATTTTTATCTGTTTTGAAACTCGACTTTTCTATCTGTTAATGTTAGACACCGTTGTTTGATCCTTTCAGATAAGCTCGTCTAGCATAGTACTACATTGCCAATATGGGCATTGCACCGTGTGCAAATTGAACGTGGCGCCAACTCAACATTTGACTTGCAACATGACTGGGATCCTGATTAGCCGCACGTCTTCCGAGTAGGGAAGGAAGAGAACCGGTCAAAGTATCACGTCACGTGATACTATGACAGTCTCGTGAGATTTATGACGTCGCCTTGACGACACTTTCACTATTGACGCCGCCATATTGCTGAGACTATTTTACCATACCATATCGCCTATCATCTGCTGTTGTTTGCCTTGTGTTTTGCTCATCTCTGAATCTGAACACTATGAACTCTTACACCCAAGGTATTTCTTTCTTCTTAATTCGTGATTCTGACTATCTTTCTTTGTTTTTTCGACTAATTTTCTTAAATAAATGTGAAGTAGCCGAGACCCACACCTGTTGGAAAGAATACACACGCTACTCAAATCAACCATTTACCATTTATATAAAATTGCAACCTTTTCAGGTATTAATAGCAAAACGGCAGCCACTCAGTCTGTCGTAGGAGCGGTTTTGTCTCATTCAAAATATTTACTTTCCTGTTTTATTCTGAATAGAGAGCATCCATCGGAGTTGAAAATTAAATCATGAATTTTGATTATATATTTCAACAGAAAACCCAACATACGACATTTTGTCAGTTGGAACTATAGCTGTCTTTTTTACGTAATTTCTACCTTTAATCTGATAAACTATAGGGTAGATCAGTGCTAATAAAGTGCTAGAAATATTCGATCAAACCATAAATAGTTAGAAGATTTTCAGAAACTAATATGAAACTGCCACTTTTCATTACTGGTAGGCTTGAGTTTGAAGTAAGCTATCCTGTCCCAGCAATCCAGGGTTTCCATTTCCTTTCAACACTGTACCCTTTCCGAAAATAACTTAAAATAGTCAAATTGATTTCGTGAAATAAACAACAGTTAATACACACTATCCTTCAGTGTCTGTTTTTAAATTATTTTTATTTGATTTTCATTGTAATTTCAGTTGATTTTATTACCACAAAGGTTTGAAATTGTAATACCATCTACATAAAAAATGCAACATGGAAAATACACGAGATTCACCTACAGAAAAAGTAAACTTGGATTTGATGTACAAGTACTAGTGAAGTAGTATAGTTGTAAACATTCTAGACTTTGAGCTATATATCAGGAGATACAGCTGCCTGTTTCATTTTGTTCAGTAACCATGGTGATGATGCTTACAGGGTTTCAAATAGACCAGTTTACACAAAATATATTCAAAATGTGTTGTTTCCCAACTAATTATACAAGAGTTCGGAGCACCTTTAGAATACAGCACCACAACTCCTCGTGAGGACGATCTCTGCCGTAGGTCACATGTCATTAAGACAAGCAACCAGTTTGTGAGAACCCGTCGGACGCGAACCCGCGACCTTCGGATTGTTAGCTCGACAGCTAACCGACTGAGCTACGTCCACACTGTTGCACAATGTGCAAATTTATCGAGTCATTCCTGTGACGTCACGGAAATGAACGGAAAGAGTCGAATAAGTCACGGACAATTACGAATGCTACGGGTAGACTTGGTGTCGCGTGATTTTATTCTTCGGACAATTGCCGAATGGATCCGATGCCATTTGGCACACTCGTCCCATTCCGTAATCTGCAAGATAACGTGTGGCGTGGAATGAGCCGATATGCCTCAAACTGAAAAGGGTTGTTGACGTCAGGCGTCAGACGTGGATTTCACGGTGCATGCATGAATGACGCGCTTTTATATAAATCGGTGATTTTGTGACAGAAAGGTGATGTAGGGAACACTGTAAGGATAATGTGGATCGCACTAAGGAACGAGGGAGACATGAGCATGTGTAGTGACGGCACGAGGGTGAGTTAGCCTTCGAATCATTACTGAACAAAATTTATTTTGCTTGTGAAAGAGGCTTGAGTGCAAATTCCAGGCTCAATTTCCATTAGCCCAAAATTTCTACATTAACCCATTTCATAATGTACTTTCGACGTTTTTGGTTTCCCGTTTTTGTGTGAAAAAAAAGTATTAAAATGCAAAAAAGAAAAACAACAAATGGTACTCACGTATTACACCGGACATGTACCTGCTATATTGGATTAAGTCCCTAACCCTAACCCTAACCCTAAACCCTAACCCTAAACCCTAAACCCTCAGCCCTAACCCTAACCCTAACCCTAACCCCTTGAAATAATCCTAATAAATAGAATGCATTGACCGAACCACCGGACAAGTACCTACTATATTGCATTAGGTCCCCAACCCTAACCCTAAGCCCTAAGCCCTAAGCCCTAACCCCTAGCCCTAACCCTAACCCTAACCCTAACCCCAATCCCTTGAATTAATCCTAATAAATAGAATGCATTGACCGAACCGGCACAAACACGACTGACTAGTGTAATGCATTATTACCGCTTCGAAAAATAAAATACTAATAAAACACTTTTCTATGTAATGGTGCAAATTACTGAATGACAAAAATATATATGTAAATTTAAAAAATTACAAAATACAAAATACACAAAACATAACACCTCAGCAGCCCGTAATACAAATAAATATGAGCGTATTAGTGAAAAAAGAAAAATATTTCAAACTGGTGCTTGCAAAATATTGCGCATCCGCCGGTATACAACTACTGGAAACTCTCAACATCGTTGGGCTTATGCAATGACATAGCTCGTAGAGATGAAACACCAGTGAGCGGAGCTTATACGCACTCGCTGAGCCAGACAACCGTGTTGCCATGCAGGCGTCATAGGGCATTGTATCGAGAACGTGCTTTCGAACAAAATCACATTACATTACGTAAAAGGGTATTATGACGTATTTTTAAAGTTTGTGGTGCTGTATTCTAAAGGTAGGCCAATAGAACTAAAAGTACCCAAGGGAGTGAAAATATATTGATATCTGAAAGAGGTATTGAAACCCAATGTCAATGACAACAGACTTTATCTGGAGCAATGTGCTATAATGATCTTTATGGAGGTTGTGACAAATATATGGTAAATATTATAATCTGGAAAAACGGTATAGCCTTAAAATGCTCCATGCTTAAAATGCTCTATTAATCCAAACACCGGCAACACTTAAACTGTAAGAATACACATCTTTGGCTTTCGAATTAGACAGAAGACCAATCACTTGGCACCAAGTGTGTCATAATGAAAGAGGGGTAACTCCGGCCTCGGAAATTCAAAGGTCTCATAATGGCATAACATTTCAAAAATTGTATTGAGAGTTCTACTTTCAATATGTGGAAAATGATTTTATAGTTTCAAACATTGAGCAAACTCTCAAAAATCGTAAACACTGCGTCTAAAACTATTGGGTTTCCTATCGAAAGTATAGGCAGTTGTTATTAGCAGCAAATTTAAAAAAAGGCGAACAACATTTTAAGTGATCCTACTCACATAGGCCTACTTTTTTCGGAATATTCATCATTACCTTCTGGACGCAGGCTGCGTATGCCGACTTTTAGAACAAACAGGGTTCGCCACTCATTTGTATTAGATGTATTAACAATAAACTCAATGAATAACTTGTCTTCCAATTGTCCAAATTCTAGTCAATATCAATGTCTATGTTCTAAATTGATGTATTCATGTCCTGATTATTTGCAATGTTATATATGGCTGTTTTATGAAAGAAAAACTGGAGAACTGCATATGATGCAAAACACATTTTCATTGGGATAATAAAGAAATTATCTTATCTTAACTAAATTTAATTCTTCACATAAGATCAGTTTGCAAAACGAATCTGTCTATCTATTTGTCTGTCTGTAAAATTGTGCTTGGTGTGTTTATATTTCACCCTCATTCCTTCTTTCCCTGCAGCTCTTGACCTCGTGATCAGGTTCCCTTTGAACTTTGACATCTGGGCCCCTCCTCGCCAAGTGGGTGTCTTAGGGAATCGGCAGTTTACTGTTAGACTGTAGTTGTGTAATTCATGTATTGATTTCACGTAACCATTTAATCATTAACCAATACATACCACCATATGCACAAGTGAAAAAGACACTGATATCCAGATGCAGTAATATCCATATTTCATAATCACTAACATTCTAACGTTATCCTTATTATCACCTAAATGATCTGTTTCCAAACAACTGTCCTCTTCTTTCTGCACTTCTATCTTCTGTCATTCTCTTCACGTCCTTCTCTCCCTCACTGTTAGCGTCCTACTGGGAGGTACATGACCATCCCTGAGCCCCTGTCAGAACTGCCCGCCCCTCCCACCTCCATCCCCGACCCTGCCCATCTCCCTACCTCCGTCCTCCGTGATGCCCCTCACTTCGTCGATATCGACCTCGATGATGACGACACCCCCACCCAGTCCCCAGTTCGAGTCTTCCTGTCACGTGTGTCTGGATTCTTGAGGAGAGTGTTCCGTGTCAAGATGGACGCTTAGAGTGACATCTTGCTACGCCTGGGATTCTCGAGGAGTGTGTTCTGTGTGAAGATGAACGCTTAGAGTGACATCTTGCTACGTCTTGGATTGTTGAGGAGTGTGTTTGTGTGAAGATGGACGCTTAGAGTGACATCTTGCTACGTCTTGGATAGTTGAGGAGTGTGTTTGTGAAGATGGAGTGACATCTTGTTACGTCTTGGATTGTTGAGGAGTGTGTTTCGTGTGAAGATGTGTTAGAGTGACATCTTTGTACGTCTTGGATTGTTGAGGAGAGTGTTTGTGTGAAGATGGACGCTTAGAGTGACATCTTGCTACGTCTTGGATTGTTGAGGAGAGTGTTCTGTGTGAAGATGGACGCTTAGAGTGACATCTTGCTACGTCTTGAGGAGTGTGTTTGTGAAGATGAGAGTGACATCTTGTTACGTCTTGGATTGTTGAGGAGTGTGTTTCGTGTGAAGATGGACGCTTAGAGTGACATCTTGCTACGTCTTGGATTCTTTAGGAGTGCGTTCCGTGTGAAAATGGACGCTTAGAATGACATTTTGCTGATTCTAGGAACTTGTGTTAGTGATTATCTTGGACCTTTAAAATACGTATAACGCTCTTAATATTTTGGACCTTTCGGACTTTTCCATGTTTTGGACATTTTGATAATTTTGGATTTTTTTACCTTTTATGGTAAATACGTACGTACTAATACTAAACCTTTACTGTTTTCGGACTTTTCATAGAATTAGGACATTTTGGACAACCAATGAAAACTTTTGGCTCTTTTGGACACTTTTGGTTATAAAGTTTTAATTTTGGACTTAATTAAATCATTATACATAAATGCTTCTTGTTTTGTGTTTTTTCCCATTAGGTCGTTGTTTTTCAAATGACGTCGTTACATCTCCCCTGTTTGTCATCCCGGTATACCCGTGCTGTAGTGGGTTTAGCACACAGTGTTGCCATGATCTATAGGCCGATGTTTGTTGGTTTGTTTAGCACCGTATTCAGGGTATTCCTGCTGCAGACAAAACCTGTGAATGCTATCGGGGCTCGGTGACACGCTGTCGTCGACGACGCTGTCCACCCGATCTATGGACCTAGTCGCCTCGCACATCCAGTAAGTTTTCTGGGAAGTAGTTGTCCGGTCCAAACTCCCTACTGGGTCATTAACGTGCCAACCTTCCATTTCCATGAGAAACAATCAGTCAACTATTTAATGAAAGTGACTTACTACTTGGTCATATATTTAGACGGCTTAAAAGTGTTTTCCACTTACGGTACTAAAACACAGAAAAGGAATTAAAATACACATAATTAGAAAGCAAAAAGATATTAACTGAAAGTCATCCAACTAATTTAGAATACATGTAAAGAGTGTTTAATTCAGAAATTGAAATAAACAAAGTACCTCACGACATTTAGGAATTCCAAGTCCAAACATTGATTACACAACAGTCTCGTTTCCTGCTGACTGCGTTCCGTCCTATTGCGCAACTTAGTACAATAACCAGTCTAGAATTTTGAGACCTATTCATTCAAGAGACGTTCCAGCTTTTAAGGCAAAATACACTCATACTGTTAGACTTCTGGTCTGTACAGAACCTGAAACAAAAAACATCTTAACAAGTCTAGAATATCTTGGCAAGTTTAGATAATGAAGTTATTCTCTGCGCTTTGTAAGAGACAAAGGTAACAAAATCTTACCTGCAGAATGTTAGTGTAACCATGGTCACAGTTATACCATTTCAATTTCAATTGCACAATTTCAACATGTACTTCAAAGTTTCACGAAGGCTATATAGTTTGTCAATAATGATTCCTTAAACAAACATACATATGGGGGCGTTGTTGGTGAGCTGGCTAAGGCGCGAGGCTAGTGATCCAGTGAGCTTGAGTTGTGACATGTGTCCTAGTCCATGGGGAGTTCAGATTGATAATACGATGTGCCGTTGATTCTCTGGGATTTGTAAGAGACAAAGGTAACAAGATTTTAAATGCAGAGTAAATGTGAGTGTAACCATGGCCTCAATTACACTATTTCAATTTCAATTACACAGTTGCAACATGTCCTTCAAAGTTTCGCGAAGGCTATATAGTTTGTCAATATTGATTCCTTAAATAAACATACATATGGAGGTGGGTGAGCTGTCTAAGGCGCAAGCGAGCTTGAAGTTCCGGGATCGAGCCCACCTGTGACCGGGTGCAAAAACCTTGGTGTCAACTTTGTGTGCAGACTCTTTCAGTGTTGTCACAACCCCTAGTGTACAGTACACAACCCTGTGCACTTAAAAGAACCCACGAATCCGTTGGTATATGACCAGATGGTGGCCACATGAATATGTGCAAACACCAAGTTGCGGGTACAGCAACGTGTGTAAACCTTGGATATGTACTATGACTATGTGTCCCAGTCCACTCAGCTGTAAATGGGTACCACGTAAGGATGGGAAAGCCACATTTACTCGGTGCGCCCATTGGCTGCAAGAGTTGTATGATCGCCAGGGAGTTGAGATTGATAATACGATGTGCCGTTTGAGCATGCAATGATCAAGGGAAAATCAAAGCGCCTTTGGGCAGCTGAGCTGGGTACTGGCGCTATACAAATGTTAGTAGAATAATTTTTTATACGATGTGTATTTTTATCTGTTTTGAAACTCGACTTTTCTATCTGTTAATGGTAGACACCTTTGTTTGATCCTTTCAGATAAGCTCGTCTAGCATAGTACTACATTGCCAATATGGGCATTGCACCGTGTACAAATTGAACGTGGCGCCAACTCAACATTTGACTTGCAACATGACTGGGATCCTGATTAGCCGCACGTCTTCCGAGTAGAGCAGGAAGAGAACCGGTCACAGTATCACGTCACGTGATGCTATATGACAGTCTCGTGAGATTTATGACGTCGCCATGACGACACTTTCACTATTGACGCCGCCATATTGCTGAGACTATCTTACCATACCATATCGCCTATCATCTGCTCTTGTTTGCCTTGTGTTTTGCTCATCTCCGAATCTGAACACTATGAACTCTTACACCCAAGGTATTTCTTTCTTCTTAATTCGTGATTCTGACTATCTTTCTTTGTTTTTTCGACTAATTTTCTTAAATAAATGTGAAGTAGCCGAGACCCACACCTGTTGGAAAGAATACACACGCTACTCAAATCAACCATTTACCATTTATATAAAATTGCAACCTTTTCAGGTATTAATAGCAAAACGGCAGCCACTCAGTCTGTCGTAGGTGCGGTTTTGTCTCATTCAAAATATTTACTTTCCTGTTTTATTCTGAATAGAGAGCATCCATCGGAGTTGAAAATTAAATCATGAATTTTGATTAAATATTTCAACACAAAACCCAACATACGACATTTTGTCAGTTGGAACTATAGCTGTCTTTTTTACGTAATTTCTACCTTTAATCTGATAAACTATAGATCAGTGCTAATAAAGTGCTAGAAATATTCGACCAAACCATAAATAGTTAGAAGATTTTCAGAAACTAATATGAAACTGCCACTTTTCATTACTGGTAGGCTTGAGTTTGAAGTAAGCTACAAGATCCTGTCCCAGCCATCCAGGGTTTCCATTTCCTTTCAACACTGTGCCCTTTCCGAAAATAACTTAAAATAGTCAAATTGATTTCGTGAAATAAACAACAGTTAATACACACTATCCTTCAGTGTCTGTTTTTAAATTTTTTTATTTGATTTACATTGTAATTTCAGTTGATTTTATTACCACAAAGGTTTGAAATTGTAATACCATCTACATAAAAAATGCAACATGGAAAATACACGAGATTCACCTACAGAAAAAGTAAACTTGGATTTGATGTACAAGTACTAGTCAAGTAGTAGAGTTGTAAACATTCTAAACTTTGAGCTATATATCAGGAGATACAGCTGCCTGTTTCATTTTGTTCCGTAACCATGGTGATGATGCTTACAGGGTTTCAAATAGACCAGTTTACACAAAATATTCAAAATGTGTTGTTTCCCAACTAATTATACAAGAGTTCTACTGCAGTGAATAATGTACTGTAGCTGCATCTAGTTTATTGGCATTTATAAATGAGAATCCCGATTTTGTGCATTTGTAACCCACATGAAATTCCACCTGTGACATAAAACAATATTTTAAGCAGAATTATTGTGAAAAAATAGAACTAAAAGTACCCAAGGGAGTGAAAATATATTGATATCTGAAAGAGGTATTGAAACCCAATGTCAATGACAACAGACTTTATCTGGAGCAATGTGCTATAATGATCTTTATGGAGGTTGTGACAAATATATGGTAAATATTATAATCTGGAAAAACGGTATAGCCTTAAAATGCTCCATGCTTAAAATGCTCTATTAATCCAAACACCGGCAACACTTAAACTGTAAGAATACACATCTTTGGCTTTCGAATTAGACAGAAGACCAAACTCAATCACTTGGCACCAAGTGTGTCATAATGAAAGGGGGGTAACTCCGGCCTCGGAAATCAAAGGTCTCATAATGGCATAACATTTCAAAAATTGTATTGAGAGTTCTACTTTCAATATGTGGAAAATGATTTTATAGTTTCAAACATTGAGCAAACTCTCAAAAATCGTAAACACTGCGTCTAAAACTATTGGGTTTCCTATCGAAAGTATAGGCAGTTGTTATTAGCAGCAAATTTTAAAAAAGGCGAACACAATTTTAAGTGATCCTACTCACACTACTTTTTCGGAATATTCATCATTACCTTCTGGACGCAGGCTGCGTATGCCGACTTTTAGAACAAACAGGGTTCGCCACTCATTTGTATTAGATGTATTAACAAGAAACTCAATGAATAACTTGTCTTCCAATTGTCCAAATTCTAGTCAATATCAATGTCTATGTACTAAATTGATGTATTCATGTCCTGATTATTTGCAATGTTATATATGGCTGTTTTATGAAAGAAAAACTGGAGAACTGCATATGATGCAAAACACATTTTCATTGGGATAATAAAGAAATTATCTTATCTTAACTAAATTTAATTCTTCACATAAGATCAGTTTGCAAAACGAATCTGTCTATCTATCTGTCTGTCTGTAAAATTGTGCTTGGTGTGTTTATATTTCACCCTCATTCCTTCTTTCCCTGCAGCTCTTGACCTCGTGATCAGGTTCCCTTTGAACTTTGACATCTGGGCCCCTCCTCGCCAAGTGGGTGTCTTAGGGAATCAGCAGTTTACTGTTAGACTGTAGTTGTGTAATTCATGTATTGATTTCACGTAACCATTTATTCATTAACCAATACATACCACCATATGCACAAGTGAAAAAGACACTGATATCCAGATGCAGTAATATCCATATTTCATAATCACTAACGTTCTAACGTTATCCTTATTATCACCTAAATGATCTGTTTCCAAACAACTGTCCTCTCCTTTCATACACTTCCATCTTCTGTCATTCTCTTCATGTCCTTCTCTCCCTCCCTGTTAGCGTCCTACTGGGAGGTACATGACCATCCTTGAGCCCCTGTCAGAACTGCCCGCCCCTCCCACCGCCATCCCCGACCCTGCTCCTCTCCCTACCTCCGTCCTCCGTGATGCCCCTCACTTCGTCGATATCGACCTCGATGATGACGACACCCCCACCCAGTCCCCAGTTCGAGTCTTCCTGTCACGTGTGTCTGGATTCTTGAGGAGAGTGTTCCGTGTCAAGATGGACGCTTAGAGTGACATCTTGCTACGTCTGGGATTCTTGAGGAGTGTGTTCTGTGTCAAGATGGACGCTTAGAGTGACATCTTGCTACGTCTTGGATTGTTGAGGAGTGTGTTTGTGTGAAGATGGACGCTTAGAGTGACATCTTGCTACGTCTTGGATTGTTGAGGAGTGTGTTTCTGTGTGAAGATGGACGCTTAGAGTGACATCTTGTTACGTCTTGGATTGTTGAGGAGTGTGTTCTGTAAAGATGGACGCTTAGAGTGACATCTTGCTACGTCTTGGATTGTTGAGGAGTGTGTTTGTGTGAAGATGGACGTGTGAAGATGAGGACGCTTAGAGTGACATCTTGCTACGTCTTGGATTGTTGAGGAGTGTGTTCTGTGTGAAGATGGACGCTTAGAGTGACATCTTGCTACGTCTTGGATTGTTGAGGAGAGTGTTCCGTGTGAAGATGAACGCTTAGAGTGACATCTTGCTACGTCTTGGATTGTTGAGGAGTGTGTTCTGTGTGAAGATGGACGCTTAGAGTGACATCTTGCAACGTCTTGGATTGTTGAGGAGTGTGTTTCGTGTCAAGATGGACGCTTAGAGTGACATCTTGCTACGTCTTGGATTCTTTAGGAGTGTGTTCCGTGTGAAAATGGACGCTTAGAATGACATTTTGCTGATTCTAGGAACTTGTGTTAGTGATTATCTTGGACCTTTAAAATACGTATAACGCTCTTAATATTTTGGACCTTTCGGACTTTTCCATGTTTTGGACATTTTGATAATTTTTGAATTTTTTTACCTTTTATGGTAAATACGTACGTACTAATACTATACCTTTACTGTTTTCGGACTTTTCATAGAATTAGGACATTTTGGACAACCAATAAAACTTTTGGCTCTTTTGGACACTTTTGGTTATAAAGTTTTAATTTTTGACTTAATTAAATCATTATACATAAATGCTTCTTGTTTTGTGTTTTTCCCATTAAGTCGTTGTTATTCAAATGACGTCGTTACATCTCCCCTGTTTGTCATCCCGGTATACCCGTGCTGTAGTGGGTTTAGCACACACTGTTGCCATGATCTATAGGCCGATGTTTTGTTGGTTTGTTTAGCACCGTATTCAGGGTATTCCTGCTGCAGACAAAACCTGTGAATGCTATCGGGGCTCGGTGACACGCTGTCGTCGACGACACTGTCCACCCGACCTATGGACCTAGTCGCCTCGCACATCCAGTAAGTTTTCTGGGAAGTAGTTGTCCGGTCCGAACTCCCTACTGAGTCATTAACGTGCCAACCTTCCATTTCCATGAGAAACAATCAGTCAACTATTTAATGAAAGTGACTTACTACTTGGTCATATATTTAGACGGCTTAAAAGTGTTTTCCACTTACGGTACTAAAACACAGAAAAATAATTAAAATACACATAATTAGAAAGCAAAAAGATATTAACTGAAAGTCATCCAACTAATATAGAAGTTAGAATATATGTAAAGAGTGTTTAATTCAAAAACTGAAATAAGCAAAGTACCTCACGACATTTAGGTGAGGAATTTCCAAGTCCAAACATTGTTTACACAACAGTCTCGTTTCCAGCTGACTGCGTTCCGTCCTATTGCGCAACTTAGTACAATAACCAGTCTAGAATTTTGAGACCTATTCATTCAACTGGATACATGAAAATTAATCAGTATTATTTGATACATCTAACCACTTGTATATTGCAACACTACGCTCCTTCTAATCCTTGCAAACACGTCGTGCAGCGTGCTCTGTCGTACAATGTGCTCTGACAAACGGAAATCTGAAACTCGTGGAAATCTCAAAACGAGGCTTTGCCGCTAGAAAAGTTTGGCGGTCTGGTACGGACAGGATATTATATCAGTCACATTGTACGTTACAAAACTACACTGAATAAGCGCAAAGAACACATAACAGGTGTAACCAGTGAGCCAGATGAAGATGGACGCTTAGCGTGACATCTTGGAACGTCTTGGATTGTTGAGGAGTGTGTTTCGTGTCAAGATGGACGCTTAGAGTGACATCTTGCAACTGTTTGGATTCTTGAGGAGAGTGTTCCGTGTCAAGATGGGCCAGATGAATTGTGAATGATATTACGACCTCATCAAACAGGGGCAGTCTGTGACGTCTCAGTTAAGGTCATGCTGCCAACACTTAGCCATAAAATTAAAATTGATTGAATTGGAAGTTGGAGGGGAGGGAGAGAGTTCTGGTAATATGATGCTTATATTATCTTTTGACAGTTGTATGTTCCCATGGTCTACTGGTAGTTCGACTGATTTCATGGTGCAGTCAGACGAAAGTTGTCTTCAATTATTCTAAAAATCAGGCAATGTCATCCATCAGTCTTTCCAACCAAAAACAAAAAAGAAGTATATGTATAAAAAGTCATATTTTTTATTGAACGTTTGGCTGTTCAAGCACCTTATAAAACATGATCATGGGAAAATATAGCTCTACACCACATATGTACACCTGAACACCCTCAATATCACATGATAACTGAACAGCTAACCAATGTATAACAGCAGCACCGCCGGGGGCTGGAAGTCAGGGAGGGAGGCACAAGTCAGAACAACACACCTGGCCCGTCCAGGCTCAGCATAACGTGGTTTAGTGGCTCGGTCAACTTCCAGGTAGCTCAACACAGCACTCCAGACAAGATGTCCATCTCACTCCAGCATATATTTGTAGCACATCAACACATTCAACATTGACTGTTAGTGGATTTGTACATGTGTTTGTGCTTATGAAGATTTCAGTTGTTTTGGTAAACAAAAATGTACTGAAAGTTACGATTTGTTTCAGACTAATCTTGGGTTTAAAAAGATATGTGTACTAATTAGAGCAATATAATTACCATTCTATCTGAAGTGCTGTGTTAATCTACCTTGTATATCATCAGTCTAAAACAGGCTAATTGATTAGTGCATAACAAGCAGATTTCCAACATGGACAACGGTCAAACAGGTACATCCTTACCTTGCAACCTGACATCTATAACCAGTTTAAAACAAATTACAATAGTGAAGATCTGTATCACCAACATAAATAGTTGTGTATCATCATCTACACATGGCACATACAGCGCCACGGACGGCATATAATGCCCCACTGCCTTTCCCATTGGCATGCACACTTACCGGAATCTGTTTACACAATCATCTCTTGACACATCTTGTAGCATATGTACAGTTTTATACCCAGTGCTAGAAATAATGAGCTGCCTGGGCTCCTTTCTGTTTTCTCCTCTAGTTTTTAGGTCTAGAAACACTAAATCACTTCTACATGTTGACTATGAGAAGGACCAGTAGACTTTCATCCTTAATTTTAAAACATGCATTCCTCAACTTAAGATCAATTTTCAGTTTGGTTTTCAAATATCGAAACTGACTTCCCGTTCATAAAACCAGTAACAGGTGTTTTACAAAGCCATCATATCGCTTTGACTATTATTGGTCTATATCAATTATGGCAGTTATTACAATCACAGTGCTGACAGCACTATATTCAAGTGATTATTATGAAATACAATATAAATTAAAAAATTCCTTTAATATTCCATACATTCCTAATAAAAACTATAACTCCCTTCAAACAAGATAATGCTCTTTGAGTACACTAATAATGACCATTATTCATAAATCAAATATATTCGAAAATAACTATCACTACCTGTAGTCACAACCAGCTGCATCTACTATATACATGATATAAACATCAGCAACCCCAACCCGTGAAGAGCTTGCTTCATAAAACAACATTCTGTTAACTCAGTCTACTGCTTCCAGTTGTACGTCATTCAGATCTGATAGAGTTTCACATTATTATGCAAAGCTTGAGCATACGACTAACACTATGCAAGACTCCGTAATAAAGGTTTAGAAACAATATATGCTTTCTGGATTAAATTACCCCAACCCAAACTGAAAATTGCATTGATTAATTCTATGATATGTACTGTTTTCTGAATATCAGTTGTGTGGTTGTTATCAAAGCCTTTGTTTGGAGCATGATCAGTTTATATTCAAGGGTTCAGTTAAAGTTCAGATTCACAGACAAACTGATACAAATACATTCCATATATGGTAATTAAAATTACATGAAAAAAAAAACCGATCTAAAAAATGTAAGAAATATGCAAATAGGACAGACGTAAGATGTGAAGACAAACTTAAAATCTAATTTGTTCACAGAAAAAATATTCGTTGAGTTGCCACAGAGTAACCATTTTCAGGGCTTCCATTTTCTGACTACTTGTGGCTTCATTTGTTTGATTTGATCTGAAGATTACAGAATGGAAGTGACAAATCAAATGCCTGTCAACAAATTCCACTTTACCTCCATCTTAAGTAGGGTTATTTTTTTTGTCAAAACATAACATAAACAAAGACAACCCAAACACAAAAAACCTGAGGGGAATTAACCTACAGAGGTCATCACAACTCCACAGTTGGGACAAAACGAACAGAAATGTTGTAAAAATCATGATTTGACTGAATGGACCCAAAGATAATCTTTTCCCTTAGAATTACACAAATCTGAACTTTCTTGAGATGGACAGAACAGACGAAATATAGTGCACAGACCCATGAGAGTGAAACTAAGGAAGTTTCAGTGGAATGTTTGGAGAACAAAATACAGAATGCCTGAGACCTAGAAAATAAATAATTGCAAATATTTGCACCAGTTGAAAGATTTACAGTCTGAATAAAACATTCACAAATTGGAGAGAACAGCCATTAGAGTCATTAACCCTGGCACATGATAAGAAACAGTTTGACTGACCGTAGTAAGACGAGTTTGGATCAATCAAGTGATTGATTTGATTGATTTGTGTACAGGGATCAGATAAGTTTGATTGCAGGTTCACACGTCCAAGTCCTGCACAAAACACTACAGAAATTAAACACTTCAAATCTCCACTCATTCATGCCTACATTTTACACTGTTCAACTACACAAGTACGAGACCTTTAATAGAGAAAACAATCTACTGGCAGAGGTAATCTAAGCAATCACACACCACACATTTCAACTAAATTTCTTAACCTCTCCGTTTTCAAAGAAATACAAACTGAATATTATTTTATACAATTGTTAGTAAATATCATAACCTCACAAACGCAAATGCTGAAATCTTGTGGACATTGTGCCTAATCCAATACCTATTACGTGGATCATCTAAGGACTGTTTTGTTCCATTCTTGTCCCTTGTCAAAAAATAAAACACGGTGCAGTGATGTAAGCATATAAGTAGGAGTCATTACAGTAGGATGAGTATTGATGAGTGCTGATGAGGATGTGTCTCCCATAGTCCTGGTGCTTGCATCTGTGAAGTGTTGAGCCCAGCAATAACCTTGTGTGGAGTGGCAGCGTGCATCCATCCATTCAGAGAACAGGCAAGACTTGTGACAAGCAATGTGAGACAGAGTTAAAAGCATACCCTTTACCCGAGCAATCTAGTTGTACGTACTGAGATGAGACTAAATATTTGTTAGTGCATGTACAGACACCCTTTATGAATTAATCTCCACATGATAAAATGTTCTGTCACATTAAAACCATGTGTTCAGAGATGAGAAAATGAAAAGAGTAAGTGGCGCTTTTTCCACCCAAACTTGAGAATGGGAAATGTGAAATTTGTTAAAAATCACTCTCAAGACAAAATGTGGTTTCTCTACATATTTCCATGCCTGCTTTTTGAAATTCATTAATATTTCACCAAAAATTTTGAGGCAATACTATCTCTTATCATCACATTTTCTATACATATTTTATAAATTCAATTTTTTTAAATATGTGATGTACAACACAAACATACTCACATCTTGCATATTTATTTTCATCGAGAGAGCTGTTGAATAAAACCAATGTGCACTTGTTCAAATAGAAACAACCACTGGGAGTTTTTAAAGAACTCTCCCATATCCTAACTGACCAAACCTTTCCTACCCATCATGTGGTTGAAAACAACTGTCACAAATTAGTGTACGAATGCCGAGGAATTCATCCCATTTCTTCTTAAAATTTCCCCAATCCTTAAGGACATTTTACCATTGTATCAAAGGATGGAAACACTCAAGTCTTGGTCATGGTAATGCTTCAGACATGTGGGAATCACACAACACATAAAATTTTGTACTTAAATCGTACATTGAATTTAGTTGCTATGTGCTCTGGGGTTCCTTTCACGAAGCAACCTTTACTAAGGTCAACCTTAACTCCCATTCTTTAACACTGCACTTAGGTTACCTAAGTGACTAACGATCACCTTAGTGCTTTGTGAAAAGAGGCCCTGGTATGTTATTTTTGTAATGTAAAAATAATAAGTACATAATAATACTTTTTGTATTTTTTTTGTAATGTTAAAAGTTTTGGTCAAAACTAGATCCATTTGTGAAACAAAAGCAATAGAAAACTCAAGACCAGTTTAGATACATGAAATCTGGACATGGCAATCTTCATAGTGATATAACATTAGTGATGATGAACCGATTATTTCTTTCAGATTTCCACACCCTTGTCCTGTTAATGTAAGTGGGGGGAGAATTAAAAGCTGTCATCAGCTAAACAACGATCTGGCAACAACATTAAGAAAAATCGACTATCATGGCCATTTTTCAGTTGTTGGGTTTTCAACTATCAGTCAAAACATTAGACTTCAGTGATTAACACCACAAACGCTATACATTTCAAGACGACTGCCTCGAGATAAACCAGACACACCACACCACAAATAATTCTTGATGGGATATTAGGGAAGGTTTTGGTAGTTGTTTCAAAGGCAGTAAGTTACACAAGCAATTACGTTCAACTTGAGATAAGTTACAACAATATTAATGCATATATGATGAAAGATATATTTACAACCTTAAAAGATAATGTAAATTCTCAATGGAGATCTTGAATGAAAGCCAAGGGTATTCCAAAAGTTTGAGTCATCATTTTCAGTCCATGGACCATTCACGACCTGACCTTGACCTTGGGTCAAGGTGAAGGTCAAGGTGAAGGTCACAGTGTCCGCTGTTGTGCAGAAACATGAAAGACAACAGAAATGGCGATAATATCGTCATCGTTCCAACAAGGATTCCATCTCAGCAGTAGGGATGCGAAGCTATGGTTACGAAAGTGGGAACTTCCTGAGATATTATTGGACACTGTCCGGGCTCTATTTGAAGATTCCTGGTTGGGTGACACTCTTCCGTGTGCTGCCCTTTGGACGACCGCGGTTTCGTGGAAGGGTGCCATATGTGACGATCTTACTTTGCTGAAAAGAAACATAGAAAAAATTAACACACACACACACCAAACCACATAGAAAAAATAAATTACTGATCCAAAATATTTCCTTTGAACATCAGTTTGCTTTGGAACTTCAAACTTTCATGAGGCATGAATTGTTAATATCAACGAAAAGTGGCATTTGGAATTTGAAAATTAGGCTAAATGTTACATAGGTGAAAAGAACAACAGATACAAAAAGAACGGATTATAATGAACCAATTATTTGAAGTTCAGAACCCCAGAAGCAGATGTTTACCGATTCCACTACACATGCAGTGTGCTTATCAAACAAACCATTAGCAATCACAATGTCAGAATGAAGTTTGCAACCTATTCAATTTGCCCAGACTATTTTTGGTCTATTCATTATTTAAGCAGGACTAACACAATAATTTGAGCTTTCTATCACATGATAGATGTTACTACTATTATGGTTACTTGTATCATTCCCCTCAATCATGGATCAATAACTGCCCATACAATAGTTTGGTTGCGATTCACTTGTGTATTTGTGAATCGAATGATATTCTTTCATGAATGAAATTATTTTTTTGTAGTAATCAGAATCGAATATTTATGAATATATTTAAGAGCGTTTTTCACTTTAAATTTGTTTGTTGTGTTTGTTGTTTATGTAAGTGAGATACGATTCAACCTGAGCAATTACACATCATGTTTGCTATTTCAGTTCCATGATATTAAAAAGCATAACCAAATCTGATGTCAAAACAAACCAAAAAGATACACAAAAGGCAAAACATTGTAAACACATGTTTTTGGTTATTTTTTCCTAAATTGTTTGGTTTCCTGAAAATGACCAAAATTAACTCTAACATTTTACATTTATTTATACATATCCTGTTTTGGTTGACAACAATATTGTTAGACAACATGGTGAGGACTTTCATATGTTGTCATGGCGATCATGAGCAGTTTCATACAGTACTTCATCAAATACATGATCGTAATTCAAAAATCCTTTCAAAAGTTGAAGGTCGGTAAATCATCTCTAAACTTATCTTGCAGAATAACAAAAAGGGAAAGTTTGACAATAGAATCACAACACAAAGCTGCAGTTGGCCAAACTGAAGACGGAATATAACTGAAGATCTAAAGAATGAGATGAACATGGACGTAGACTGACATTCAGTGAGTCATATTGCTATGATCAAGTCAAACACTACACTGTTATCTAATTACTAGCTTCATTAACTAATTCTAACTAAATACACTCACTGTACTTGTACACAGTGGAACTAGTCTATGGGTTTTGTCTTCTAGACGTATTAATTTGGTCATAAAAAGTAAAAAAAATCAGACCTAGAGATGACAAATCATAAAACTTGGTATGGTTCCACTGCCCCTCCAATAATAACATACAAAAAGTGAATCTAACAGTAAAGGATTTTCAATTTTAATTTGAAAGAAGTGTATTAATTTTGTACACTGTACATAATGTAAAACTATAAACATTATAAAGGCAACAGGACAAATATTGAACCGGTTAAATACAACATTTTCAGGATTCCAGGGATTGGGACAGAGAACTTTGACAATGGGCCATTTTCAGGATTATTAGCCATTTTCTGAATTTAGAATGGACCAAAAACCTTGTATCAATAGTAAACTTCAAAATTTCAATGGGCCATTTTTTATTCTAATGTGCAAAATGGACAATGGGTCCTGCCGTTCCCAATCCCTGCGATTCTGTTTGTCATCTCTGGGGACTGAATCGCTATGGTATTAGTAAGACTGGTAACTGCAGTGTGGGATGGAACTGAAAGTCGTGATGAGGTCTGTCATCTCACTCTACATGCATATAGACGACCGACATGCAGCACTGACGGACAGGCTGCAAGACCAGGGCGATAGTAGGCACACAGCTCCACAACAGTCAACACAAAGGAAAGACTTACAGAAAATGCCTGGGAGAGAAACTATTTAGTTAGTGAGAAGCATATTACACTCAGATCCTGGTATAAATCAGTTTCATTAACAAAGCTTGTTAACTAAATATTAATCTGAATGCACACATTTTTGTGAGATTGTAGAATGGAAAATAGCAGTTTTTAGATGTCATTTGAAAATTTGGGGGGAAGTTTTTACAGGGTTAGCAGGCTGTTGGTGATAAGAAAAATCAGGGCAGTAATAACTAATGTTGACAGTGTCTGAAAATCAACAAAATAAAACTGGACTTCACAGTTCAGGGCAATTAATCTTGTCTGTGCAATCTTGAAAATATTGGTCATAGCTGATAAGCTTCAGAGCATTTTCAACAAGTCCTTCCTCGAAGCAAATTATATTGACCTCTCTTCCTGTCTCCATAACACGTTAGATCAGAAAAACCAATCAGCATTTCCAGGAATAATTTGGGTATCCCACACTTGGAGTCCATGAATTGGACCGCACTCGATACCGAGGAATGGTCCCCATGGTCCCTGTGTTCTCCTTGGTCCGATCGTACAATGCAGTCCCACTTCTGTACTGTCTTGCCTTCTTATCATACAACCCAGCACCATAGCTCGGAGTCCGCTCGTACAGACTAGAGGTCGACCGGTACATGAGGGAACGGTTATCATAGAAGGAATCATATGGATTCCTATCCGGTAGACTCGACGAGCTGCCATAACTTGGTGAGTTCTTGTCATACAGGTTAGCCGAGATCCCGTAGCTGGATGGGAGTTTGTCAGGTAAGCTAGAGTTACTTCCATAACCACTGCCACCGCTGCTGTAGCTGAGGTTGCTATAGCGACTACCAGTGCTGCTCATGCTGCTTCCATAGTTAGAGTCCTGTTATAGGTAAATGGTAGACTTAAACCGGAACTTACCACCAGTGTGCTAGGACTGTTTAGGGATGCTTTCTGCAAGTGATTACATCTCAAAGCTATAAGAAGCCTGGAGAAAGATCGTGACATGCTCAGTGATGGTTAATGATTAGATGATTAGCAAATTGAGCATGTATTGTAAGACATAAAAACATGCCGACGTGTTAGATTATTGTACAAAGATAAAGAACATGCTGTTTAATGTACATGTTTTGAAACATAAGAGAAAAGAGTCAATTAAAAAAATGCATTCAATATAACTGCAATATCAAAGAGCTTTAACCCTTGTCAGTAGTCTCCAAGCCGTTAATATTAAGGAACATGACAATGTTGATAAGTTATTGTAAATACTTGAACAATTCCAACTCACACAATAAATAAAATGTAAGATTTTGAAGAATGGTATACTGCAGAGAAATATAAAGTCATTATCAAGGTGAAACTGGGATTCAAAGCCAGGATCATAGTTTCCTGACACACCTAGGGGATGTAACTCTGTACAGCTAATTGCAGCTGTTGACAACTGGGGCATGTGTGATCCACCACTGACAGACACAGAGATATTCCAGCACATGTACAAACACACATGGATTCTGACATGTTACATCAGGATAGAGAAACTGGACACATCCGCAGTAGAGCACAACAGATCCAGATACGAACATACATGTTACAAAATCAATTATTTTCATTTGAAATTATATTTTCGTATTTCCACCTGTATGTCATTAATGAGAAGATACTTCAAACTGACTATCTGGAGGTATAAGGGCTTAACTAACATTCTTCATTTATTAGTCATAATAAAGCTGTTGTATATATATGCTAATGCAGCATTTCTGAAGCTGTATAAATATAAGCAGCATTATTAATTAATTTGAGCATATAATCATATTAATAACTGTGATATGTGAAGTGAAACAACATATCGGTAAGGTGTTCCCCAATACAGTGTAATCTGCTGGGGTGTGAGTCTCAGGAGAGTTACCTCCCCCTGAAACCTACCTCTTTAGCTGTGTACTGCTTGCGTGTGTTTGGGTACAACATTATCTCCTCTGTCACTGTCACTTCCTCCTCTTCTTCCTCCTCTACTTCCTTCACACTTGACAGAGCTGGAACACAAACATCAATATCCATATCTGTCTGATGGAACAGGTATTCAGTTCTTCCCACTAGTTTTGTTTGCTCTTTATGACTGCACTCAGTAATTTTTCATTTATATGATAATCTGTAAATAACCGACTCTGGAACTAACTATCCTGTGACTGACATCATAAGATTCCATCTACAAAATTGGGATATAATGACTAGTGTTGGAAATTACATAATTACCAATCATCGAAAAAAATCGGTTAGCGTCAATTTTCAGATTTTCCTATCCAAGTTGTTATTGCAGATATGTATAACATGATGCATCTTGCTACTTTAAAGTGATGACTAATATATCATGAACATAAAATTCCTGGAGTCTTCAAGAAACATTCAGTCATGATATATATTTCAGGGTGCTGTTGTACAAAGCAACCTTAGCGCTAAGACTGCCTAAAGTGTATGTTAAGGTATGGGAGTTACGATCACCTTAGCGCTAAGACTGCCTAAAGTGTATGTTAAGGTATGGGAGTTACGATCACCTTAGCGTTAAGATCGCTTTGTACAATGACAACCAGTTAGTGAAGTGAGTTTTCGAAGAATTAAACAGGTTTTCAGGCCCTGACAACTTCGAAGATATGTTACACAGTCAAGAGTTTCAAAGACTAAAACAGTAGTTCCAAAATCGTTTGTGTTCGATTATGAGAAATTGTGATCGATCACTTGGTCGTTTCGTCACTGCGACCAATCTTCGATTATTTCAATTAATCGAAACATCACTGATAATGACCTGCATCAACCAAGTCTGATCTAACCAATGCTAGTCGCTTCTTACAAAAGACATGGGTTGTTGAAGACAAATTCTATCCAAGATCATCAGGAGAGAAATTTCAAACAGGTCTCCAAAGTTTATCACTTTAGTGAAACAATCATACAAACAGGGACATGTTGCTGGTAAACCTAGATACAAGGACAGGGCAAATCAGGGATTCAAACCGACTATCACTGATCCCTTGCACACCAAAGGGAAGCAACTCTTGAGAACAACTGCTGAGAGTGAGGGAGTGATTGAGAGTGTGCGAGTGTCAGTGTGTGTGTGAGTGTTTAGTTTTACACCGATTTTACCAATATTCCAGCAATATCACAGGAGACACCAGTAATGGGCTTCACATATTGTGCCCATATGGGGAATTGAACCCGGGTCTTCAGTGTGATGAGCGAATGCTTTAACAACTAGGCTACCCCACTGTCCTGCTGAGCTTCAGACAACAGGGGGAGAGTGGAAGGTCGCGGGTTCGATCCCCGACCGCGTCATACCAAAAGACGTTAAAATATGGTACTTTAATGGCTTTAATGGTTACAACAAGGTACATTGTTACATCCTGTATATATACACTTCCCCCTTCTTCATGTTCCATTATGCTTGACAACGGAACAAGAATCTGTATCGAAACGTCGCACTCACGAATAAAAAGAAGTTGTTATCCAAAGTTTGTTCTATATTGTACTCCCAACTTCTAAAATGCCACTCAAAGAAGCTTACATTGTTTAACTCTTTCAACACCAGTCAACCAGAGGCATTTACTGCCATGACACCGAGTTCCCAGAGACCCTGAGGTCATAGATGAAGCCTATGTTTATGAAGGAAATTATAAGCTTGTAAAACGTTATTGCTACTACATCCCATACACCATTTAAAAGATCTAATCCTACTGTTGATAAATATGAAGTTTATTTTTATAATATTATTCAAATAATACAACTACAACTTAAATAAATGTATTTTTGAATGAAAATGCAAGCTTACATTTATAACATCCAGATAAACCACGAAAGAAGCAAAAACTATGGCGATTTTTTTCCATTTGTGACATGTGATAACATGCCTGTGCCTTTTTCTTTTATATTTTCATTTTTACGTCATCAGAAAATTATTATAAAAAGATTTCTTAAATAATATGTATGGTCGCCTATTTCCCGATATCTGTGGCTTTCCGCTCGGTAACATGACATAACAACGGAAAATACCTCCGTTTTCGAAGCTTCCTGTGCATAACATGCGAGGCGAATCGTTTGATGTCGGGCATCGTTCGAAAGCTCTGAACATCAACAATATCACTGTACCCTTGCCAAGAGTATTTTCACAGTTGTAAGAAGCGATTTTATTGGATAAAGATTGGTTTCTAATGACACTTTTTCGCTATAAGGGTCGTGATTGGTCAAAATCAGACACATGACCTGAGGCAGCCAATCATATTACGGCAATGGATACCGTCCTCGTAAACGAAAACCTTTTGATTTAGACAAAAGTTTTGGGTAAAATAATGCTATTCTGAACATATTAAGCAAAGAAATGTTTTAACTCCTTCGCTACCTGTCATGCGTAAATTATGGAACTTATTGGACGTATCGTGCTAGGTTATGACCTGTGACAAAAAGGCTTCATGTATATATTTTTGCATTAAACATCATGTCCGGGCGTGAAGATTGAGGCGGCGAGAGCCGAGATGTCACTCGTCAGTGACTTGACTTGCATTACATGATCGCACAAAAAGATGGAAATAGTAATTTTATATGTACGTTTGACAACTTTTATGAATGCTGTTGTTGATTTTATTCATTAGTTTATTCAATTTATTTAATGAATTCCTCGAAACATCGTTACTTTGCTCTTTGACAATATTATTGTAGACCCGCTGCCGAAGCATGTGTCCGAGGATCGTTGTTTTCAATAACATTGCGAAAAATAGTTTATAATTTTAATTCTGCTGATAATATATGATAAATTGAAATTTAATAAGTGTTTTCAGACATTGTAAAATGTGATAGATTTAATATATGAATCATAAGTCAGGTAGGTTCCTAAAATTATGTCTCATTTTGACGTGACTACTGCCTGGCCGCTTAATCGGCCTCCGGTGTCTGGGGACTCATAACGTTGTGGCCGCTTAAGCGGCCTGCGGTGTTGAAAGGGTTAATAACATGGGAAAAAAGTAACCATAATCTTTGTCATTTTGAATGAACAAAACTGGCATCTTATGACTAGATAGAAATGACGGTACGAAAACTTAAAATATCGAATTTTTGGATTGCATTACGGTATACCAAACCGAGGCAAAATACCGCGGTTCTTCTAATACCACAGTATACCGTTTCCCCCTAGTTGTAACTGGATCGGGTGGTCAGGCTCGCTGACTTGGTTGACACATGTCATCGTATCTCAATTGTGCAGATCAATGCTCATGCTGTTGATCACTGGATTGTCTGGTCCAGACTCATTTATTTACAGACCACCACCATATAGCTGGAATATTGCGAAGTGTGGCGTAAAACTTAACTCACCAGAGGTACAGATAAGCTGGCGTATCTGCGTAAATTACGTAAATATTTATATGAAAACTCAATTCCTATTACGTCTGTTGTGTACAAGTACGCTTGTATTTTTGTAAATACTCAATAAATTTGATTGTACATGCGTACACAGAAAACTTTCAAATCTTAGCTTGCGTACCAGTGGATAGATAAAGCAACTGAGGTATATTTAGAGGTTCTATTTCGGCACATGAACACTCAACTAGCAGTCTTTCATATCGTTTCTCATATTACAGATCAAATATAAATAACAAACACTAACATTTTAACTTTATTATATTTTAACAATTAATGGAAAAAGGCAAAATACCCAATTGATTTTGAGTGAGGTGAGTACAATTAGTTTGGTTACTCAAAGGAAAATTAGGATACCCAATTGAGATGAAGACAAGCGGGTACATAACTCAATGACCCAAAAAGTTATCTGTAGCTCTGACTCACTGCAAAGATACCAAAAATACTTGTTATGTTAAAAAGGATACTTTAAGACAGATTATTAGGGTGTTTCATTCACTATTGTAAAGTATCCTTCATATGGAACATGGTGGGACATCAAACCGGCAGTGAGGAATGTATGACTGATGACACTATTAAACTTACCAGCGGCAGCGCTCTGACTTTTCTTGAGCCGAGAATGTTTGTTGGATGAATCAATGGAATCCTTGCTGCGAGTTAGACGTCCTTGCCTCACCAGTTCCTGCTGATCTTCTAGTAACCTGTTATCTACAAAGAAACAGTTATGTTCATAGTTAGATCATAAATATAATGGCAAATGTTGTGAACCTGTAACCAAGTAGATTTGTGTTTTCTCCTAATTTAACTCCTTCGTTTGCTATATTCAACCCGTCAAATTTGCCACATCAAAAAAGCCAATTTGTCATATTCAAAAAGCTCAAATACAATATTCAACAAGTCAATCTACCCAATTTCCAGCTTTTAAATTGGGTTTCTAGGAAGGAGTGGCAGTGTCAGCTTTGGAGTGAGAAATTTGAAGATGAAAACTCATTAAAGGACCAGTATGGGATTAGACAGGGTTCACTGATAAAGGATGTGGTGTTACCAGGTAAATTTCATTTTATTTCATGTATTCTTGAAAAGAACCACCCATGGTGGTAAAGGAGAAAGGCTTTCTTAACATAAACATAAGTAGTACTTTACAACATGTCGGTTATATTGTACAAATAATTGGCGACATCACGACATTTTGGTTTAGGTGAGGTGAAATTGGGTTTAACGTCGCGCTTGAGAATATTTCGCTCATATGACGACGTGCGTGTGTATGTGTAGGTGCAGCTGCTTGTACTAGCCCAGACTGAAGCTGTTTTTATAGTGCTTGCCCACTGAGATACCAAGACGCAGTGAAGCATGAATACCCCACTCAGACACATTAAACTGACTCCGAGCCGACCAGTCCTTGTTGTACCCATTAAAGCCGAGCACCAGGCAAGTACCATATTTTAACGTCTTTTGGTATGACGCGGTCAGGGATGGAACCCGCGACCTTCCGCTCTCCGGGCGGACGCTCTAACCACTACACCACGTAGGCGGTCATTTTGGTTGAGAATACTTATGAATATTTAAATATTAACAGCTAACCTTAGAAGCCGCTGTAGTAATTCAACACACATATATACAACCAAATACAATGTGAACAAAGTACTAGTCATTACCAGAGTAAACATTTAGAAATTGACATGCATGTTGAGGAAAGATATACATATTCATTTCAATGTTTACTAATGCTGTGATCTGTTTAAATCAATTTGCATGTTTGCAAGTTCTGTGTAGCTCATATATACCATAAAACACTTTTGAACATATTTCTGTGTGCTGCTATAAATTACATAATGAAACGCTTCCACAGACAATTAATCCATTTGGTGCTATTGGTATCTGCAGAAGAATCCCTCAAACTATGTGTTCAGTTTTAGAGTGAGTGACTGAGTGTGTTTGGTTTTACGCCGCTTTTAGCAATATTCCAGCAATATCACGGCGGGGGACACCAGAAATGAGCTTCACACATTGTACCCATGTGGGGAATCGAACCCGGGTCTTCGGCGTGACGAGCGAATCAGTTTTAGAGGGGCTATTTGAAAGTCAAATGTGGCATTCCTGGCCCCTCACCAGAGCAACAGCATGGTATGAGACACTGGCCCCGAACCAAAGTGACACCACTGTATCAAGCACTGCTCTTACCTAACTCATCATCATCATCATCTTCCTCAAACACGTGCCTCTGAGCCAGCGAGTGACCATCATCAGTCAGGTCACTGGTGCTGTAGCTCCGTCGTATGTGGTCAACCAGCTTCCCATGACCCTAAAACAGTTAGATGCCATCTTTAGTCAGCAAATGAACACTGCTTACTGGATCAGCACTTACCTATATTTTCACTAGTCTGCTAAAATGGCCTGCTAAGTGTTTTCTAAACCATTTAGTCTGCAAAGAAATGTCATCAGTAATTTCTGAATTTTATCTGTTTCATTCTTATGTTATTTGTTTCCTGTAAATAATTACTGAGTAACGATAGTATGCTCTGAAAACAAAACACAATTAAAAAACCCAACCCAACCCAACAGTATTGAGATCATTTAAATTTAAAACAAGTTTAAAACATGATAAAAAATACAAATCATGTCTCTATCCTAAACATTAATACAATTTATAACTAAATCTCTACACAAGTATCAGTTTTAACTTGTAATCCTATACAGATTTATCTCCCTTTGACCATGTGCCAACAACACAAAATCAAGAGTTATCTTCCTTAGACCATAGCTCTTACTCTGAGCGTAGCTTGCATAATGGTTTTGGAAGCAAACTGTAACCCTCTTGTTCCAAGGGTGAGTAGAGTGGAATACCCTTGCTTGCTGGCTTGGACAATCAACTCGTCGATGTCCTGAAACAGACAACATCAATCATCATCACCTGTCATATTTCTGTCTGGTGCACCAAGTTTATTTATGTAATAAGTAAATGTTTAAAACGAGTCTGCAGTGGCCAGAGTGACACCAGCTGTTTAGAGGAGTCGGTTCAGGAATCAGTCAGACAGAATCACTCCGGGGTCTTGGCACAGGATGCAGACATGCAGTAATCTAATTGTGAAACAACACTTCAAAGTTTATCTGCACTCTTCACTTAGCTTCTGAAGATGGAGTGTCTGGCTTTCAAAGCCAGCTGATAAGAGGAGGACTAATTACATCAGTGGGATACATGGTCGCTGTTTTCAATTAGTCGTGACGTATTTGGAGTGGAAATGGTACATCTAAATGGACTGTTGATGGGTGTATTATTTTCAGCAGTGTCTAACATGTTTGTATGATGACTTGTAGATCGATACTCATGATTTAAGTATGGCGAAACGTATTTTTGAACACACACTGCCATAATTCTCTGAGAAAAGCTATGAAACAAAGCAAAGACAGTACATGCTATTGTTACTGATACCAAATTACAACATTCATTTTCAAGAATAGTGATTGAGTTTAGTTTTATGACGCACTCAGCAATATTCCAGCTATATCATACTATATGGCAATGGTCTGTAAATAATCGTGTCTGGACCAGACAGTCCAGTGATTAACAGCATGAGCATCAATCTATGCAATTGGGATACCATGACATCAACCAAGTCAGCGAGCCTGACCACCCACCTAATCCCATTGGTAGCCTCTTATGATGAGCATGGGTTACTGAAAACCAATTCTAACCCGCATCTTCATGCGTCCAGTAGCACTAAGGATAAACTTTGCTCCCTCACTGTAAGCAAGCAATCAGTTGAAAAGTTTATCTCATGTGAACTGAATAGTCTTAGTGCTTAGTACTGAAGTGATATTACAGGTGCAGGTTAGAGGTGCCTCTCAAAGAAGTGAAAGGTTCACAGTCTTGACCCACAACACTCCAGCTCTCAACATGGCAGGGTAATGAACTCATTTCTCAATCTGATTGACTGTTTGTGTGCATGTTGGATTAATCATATTCAATCACATAAGTTTCACCATGACTCATACTGATGGTTGAGTGGTGCACTTATAGGCACAAATGATTATCCTGAGGCAAAACATCATTACACACCAAGCACAACAAAGATCATACAACCTGGCGATTATCTGCATGGAATCGTAATTGCTATCAACTAATTCAATGGTAAAATATTTCTGAAGGGTTGTGTAAACATTGACGACAATATTCTCATCATAGGTATATTAGGTCCTATAATATGAATCCATTTTTCTTAAATACTAGATGGAAACTGAGTTTTAATGTTCCTGTATCAGAGCTCCAGATAAGATTTAGCTCATGTAGGTACTGTGCCCACTGTATTTTTTTGGAGTGGGTATTATGAATTTTGAGTGGGTATTTCATTTTCCGTTACCGACCGCTTTCAAATATGTGCGTATTTCACATATTTCACGTATTTCAGTCATTTTACTCACCTAAGTATTATGTCATTGAGTAAGTTTACTAAGCAGGTATGTTCTGCCTTATGTCATACCTAATCAAAACCAACTTAAATATAATGGAAATGATTTCATAAAAAATCACTCATCCTACACTGACAGTACAACTCTAGTCCAATACTAACAGTACAACTTGATAGCAATCGATGTCTTTGTCATTACGCAAGCGATTTTTATAAATATATTCCATTCCGTACGCATTTGTTTTAAACATTTTAAATGCGTAATTGGTACACAAACAATAATTTTTCAATGCATAATTGAAATTTTCTATGCATATTTTTCCCGGATTTGCAGCTAATCTGGGCCTCTGCTGTATCTCCAGTTTACCTTTTCCCGTTTTGCCAGCTGTGGGTGAACAAATTTCTTGAAAAGGAAGCTGGATCCCTTTGTCATTGGCGAAAGCATCCATAGCACAAACACAATCTTCACTTCGTAATAAAATGGAAGCCTGAAAACAGAAATAACTGGTTGTACATCTCCGCAGATTCCTGCAAAGGCTGGAGTAGTCTCCAGTTTATCCTAATACAATGCAAATACAGTTCTATATTACCTTAAACAATCGAACAAATGATTAATACAACAAAAAAAGATTATTAGACCTTGTTTGGCAGCTTGCCTCCTGAGAGTTTCTAGGACTTCAGTCCTGCCCCACAACGAAGCACATGTGATACACGTGGACTCACCTTAGGCAAATGAGTTTGTTCAAACTTGCCTCTGTTCACCCAGCAGAAAAATGGGTACCCGATGGGATAAGTCATGTGACTACGGTATAACCTTCTAGGGCTATCCGGGTTAATAATGTTGTGCTGTTTGTGCGCGCTTTGTGCATGATCCTTTGTGGTGTGGAGTATTGTGCGGTATAAGTACCCTCATTATTATTATTATTGTTATTATTATTATTATTATTATCAATTTTCGTTTCCATAATAATCATACCGATGACAAGGAAAATACATCCCAAAATTATACTGTTCTTATGCATGTTTTACTGAATGTTTCAAACATGGACTGCTGTCTAGTCTGCTTCAAGCATAGATAAGTGAGTGATTGAGTGAATTTCATATCTCACTGGGTCCCCTTTTCTATTCAAATGAGGCTTTTTGTTTCTATCAGGTGTACATATTCAGAAACTAAGCATAAGTGAACATTAATTGTGGCATTCATGCTGATGAAATATGATAAGAGAGCCAAGCCAAGGCTGGACTGTTTCTCATACCAGTGGTTGGCTGTACGAGCTACAAGCTACATTATTACCGTACTTTAACCCTTACTCAGTCAGGTCAAATACTGCGACCACTAGACCCGCATTACATGGCATTCACAATAAACATGAGGAACTGGGAAAAGATATTTTCCTTTCAGGACCCCATTGTTAAACCTGTGACAATAATGTATAGTTGTAGAGGACAGGGAAGATCTGGAACAGGACACTGTATGATGATGTTCATCTGGATAGAAAGGTTCTTACTAAAACGGATCAAAACCTTGAGACTCCCCATTTAAATTGTGTTTGTAACTGCAGTTAGCACAAATTAAGCAATATGTCTGCCTTTAATTTTAAAGTCTGGGCCAGACAAACCATTTTTCAACAGATTCAATAAAGGACCACGCCACTAGGGCAGAGAAGAGTGAGTGAGTGAGTGAGTGAGTGAGTGAGTGAGTGAGTGAGTGAGTGAGTGAGTGAGTGAGTGAGTGAGTGAGTGAGTGAGTGAGTGAGTGAGTGAGTGAGTGAGTGAGTGAGTGAGTGAGTGAGTGAGTGAGTGAGTGAGTGAGGTTGTTCGCAATATAACTGTAAGCTCATATAAACACAGAATTTGTGAAGACAATATGTTCAATATTCTGCTACTTCAGAAGCATGGTTGAACAGTTCTGGGGACCTCCTTTCTGTCAGACTACCCACATAGGCCAGCCCATTTTTTGCCTATGCAACAACATGATATCAATATGCTAATGTTAATAAGTTATACACAATAACAGTGTGCACAATCTGTGCATCCATTCAAACCTGAAGAGTCAGTAGGTTCCAGCCCAGTGACTGTCCTGAATGATGAATTCAATTTGGTAACATGTGTTTTATTGACAATGCAGATGACTCCAGAACCGTTTTGACATGCATGGCTGCGATGGACGGCAACACAGAGTACAAACCCACAGGTTGCACTGGAACATCTGCAGTCATGTCATACAGTGTACATCATGACACTTCTGGTCTTTCCGAGGCAAGAGAGATAACTGGCTGTAAAAGACCAGTTCCCACGTAGCTGGCCTAGCTTAAAAATTCATAGTTTGATTGTTGTGTTATAAACATGAGATTGTTCTTTCAAACTGATTAATCAGTTTCCATGTATGTCTGCTTCAAATATTATGGTCAAGACAATCTGATCAATAATCAAGATCTTTATTGTAATGATGTAGGTGTTACCCTGCAAAGTGCATCAAATCATTTGATCACTTGATCAAAAACATGAAAACATTCGGATAATATATGTCAATGCCCAGCTGATGGTACGTATGCTCTGCAAATGGTGCTATTGACTAAATCTCCATGGCTGTCGCCATGTTGTTTATGACCTGGTGTTGATTTCTTTATACAATTTTGATTGAACTATGCAAAGACTCATTAGTCTAGCCAAAATATATACTGAGTCAAAAAAAGAAACTTCACAAAATGTAATTTGAAAAATAATGAATAATTTTTCTCTGATGATACATCTATGTATCCGAAATGGGATCCCTACCTTTCGACTCTAGAAATACGTGAGTAAAACCCACTCAAACCCATCCATTCGTCGTGCAAATGACGTTAGTGCCAAATCAGGTTTTGCACTTGCAGTCGATCACGTGATCTTTCGCATCGAAGTTTTCTTCATATGCATGTTCTAACGGTACTTGAAATGCCACGATTGTCAAATGTGCAACGTGAACGTGCCGTTGGCATGTTGCAAGTGGGAAGATCAGTTATTGACGTCGCAAGAGCAATGGGATGCAGCCGTCGTACTGTGTATGACTTGCGAGGTCGTCTACAACAAACTGGCACCACTTCTGATCGCCCAAGGTCGGGTCGTCCACGTGTGACGTCACGAGCAGAAGACCGATCAATTAGATCCTCGTCACCCTCGTGACAGATTTCTGCCGGCTACACGAACCAGGGCTGAGATGTTTAGAGGTCGACTGTCCTCACAGACCATTCGAAATCGGTTGCAGGCTGCCAATCTCCATTCTCGACGTCCATATCGTGGGCCAATATTGACGCCAACGTCAACGTTTGCTGTGGGCCCAACGTCACCTCCGATGGACCCAGAGAGACTGGAATCGAGTCGTCTTTAGCAATGAATCCAGGTGAACGGTATGCCCAATGTTGTGTACAGGAAGTCGACAGATTCGGGGGCGGAAGTTGCATGGTGTGGGGTGCTTTCTGTGGGAACAACCGTTCCAGACTTCTGGTCATCCGTGGAAACCTCACAGCTGCTGCTTACCGCGACCAGGTGCTCACCCCTGAACTCGTTTCTTTCATGGCAGCTCATGGCCCAGGACTACAGTTCCAGCATGATAATGCTCAGCCGCATACCGCGATGTTGACACTAAATTTCCTTCAAAACGCTGGAATCAAGCGTCATGGACTGGCCATCGAGGTCCCCTGACCTTAATCCAATAGAGCACGTTTCGGATGCACTTGGGAGAAGGCTTCGTGGTCTTAGGAACCAACCTCAGAATTTGCAGGAACTTGGCGCTGCCTTGCCAGAGCAATGGCGCAGAATCCCCAACCACGTGTTCAAAAGCATCAGGCAGTCGATGAGGAGATGGTGTTTGGCTGTGGTGAATGCGTGGGGCGGCCATACACGATATTGAACTGAGAAATTTCGCATTTTTATTCTTGTGACTTGACATTCTGTATACCCATGTTTTGGAACGGCGGTGTAGCCTAATGGAACTGATTATGGCACTGTCAGTGTATCGAGTACATCACACAGATCTCAGCAATGAAATAATACCAATTTAATCATCTTACCATCTCTTGTTCTTTTATAGTGCCCTGATGAAAGAATGTGAAGTTTCTTTTTTGACTCAGTATATTTCCATAATACAAGGCTAGTTTGGCAAAAACAGGTATTCTATGGTCAACTATCTCCTTCGCTTCTGGAGGATGAGACCTATCATCACGCCTTCAACCTACCAACTACAAGCCAACTGTGTCTTCCACCTTCCAGTAACCAAGTTTAAACAGAGCCAAAACAAGGGGGAACTGGGATCTTTGAAGTTTGTTCTTACCCTAATAGAGCCTATGACTTTTAAAAACTCATCAATAGAACTATAAAAATGACCATCCACACTGAATTTCTAATACTGCTGAACATCACAGATTGAAAATTCCTGTCATGATAATTAATTCTTAAAAGTGAATAAGTGAGTGAGTATGGCTTTATGCCGCTTTTAGTTTTAGCAATATTCCAGCAATATCACGGCAGAGGACACCATAAATGGGCTTCACACATTGTACCATGTGGGGAATCGAACCCGGGTCTTCGGCTTGATGAGCCAACACTTTAATCACTGGGCCAACCCACCGCCACCAATTATTAAAAAAAACACAAAGTAAATATGAGTTTACACTGCAATATTCCCGCCACATCAAGGAAGGGAGACAAGTTTTTCACAATGTTCTTAAAATGAATCAAACATTCTTATATGTACACTGGCATGACACTCAATCAGTTTAACTGCAGCTCCCCAACGCTTCTAGTTCTATAATGCTATAGAGGCCGCCAAGATGAGACACGTGAAATGGCGGACACAATCGTGATGACATAACTAGGTTATTGCTTACAGCGTAATTACACTACAAACAAAAAACCACATCAGATGAATGGTTTCAAAGTGAAAAAGAATGGCTACCAAGATATGCATGATAAAAGGTATCTCAAAGTGGAGTTTCGAAGGTAAAGCCCCTCAACGATAACTACGTTGTGGCGAGAACTATAGATAAATGCAGCATTGTGACAGTGACCGTGTCTACGTGACCCAGTCCATGCAGAGACCGCCATTAACATGTCTACAAACTGACACAAGGGTGGATACTCTCACCATCTGACACACGCTTCTCAACTACCTGACACTCAAGGATAGGCCCACATTTCATCAGGGGGATTGAGGTGACACAATACGTAACTCGTAGGTCTTGTCGTAGGTCTTGTCTTAGGTGTTAGGAACAAAACACATGCCCAGCAGACCAAGTGTTGTACATAATAAATATCATTTAAAATATGAAAATGATTTCACTCTATTTGTACTAACAGGGGCTAGCACAAAACAGATATAACAGTTTTGGGAGGTATCACCTCCTTTCATATTTTAGTCGTACTGCATATGAGTGAGTGAGTGAGTGAGTGAGTGAGTGAGTGAGTGAGTGAGTGAGTGAGTGAGTGAGTGAGTGAGTGAGTGAGTGAGTGAGTGAGTGAGTGAGTGAGTGAGTGAGTGAGTGAGTGAGTGAGTGAGTGAGTGAGTGAGCGACCGAGTTTGGTTTTACGCCGCTTGTAGCAATATTCCAGCAATATCACGGCTGGGGACACCAGAAATGGGTTTCATACATTGTACCCATGTGGGGAATCAAACACCGGCTTCACATGATGAGTGAACACTTTAACCACTAGGCTACCCCACCATTATAACCATAGTTGATAACATATGACCAAACAACGGCAACTGTAACAACATCACCGCAACAAGGTGGAATCAACAAGTAGGGGTGAGATGGGAGGTGACTGGACAACATGGGAGGGTTTAAAATAATTAGTGCGTGACGGGAATATTCTTTTAAGATATAGTAACCTGCACTGATATGAAAACATTGATGCCTAGATGATATTTAACCAAGAATAAATCAAACCTAATTTATCACACTAAAAGCTATGCACAGATACAAAGCATCTGCATTCTCAAACAAAAGAGTGAGTTTTAGTTTTACAACGCTTTTAGCAGTATTCCAGCAATATCATGGCGGGGGACACCAGAAATGGGCTTCACACATTGTACCCATGAGGTGAATCGAACCCCGGTCTTCAGCATAACGAGCGAACGCTTTAACCACTAGGCTACCCCACCGCCCCCTTAAACAAGTACAAGTCTCTCTAGGTACATGGCAAACTGGCAAACCACACAAGCATCCAACAGCACTATATTTTATCTCTTAACAGATTTTTGCCTTAACCTATAAAACTAACAGGGCATAATTACCTTTTCGTCAGCAACTGCTTGTCAAGAATTTGGTAAAATCAATATTGATAGACGTTTTTTGAGATGCTCATTTGTGCACTGCGTAAGAAACTGGCACATCCAGCTAGATTACTGAAGATCTACACAAGACCAACATGATTATGTTGCACTGCATGGAGTGCACCATCCAGATACTAAGAACAGTTCCTCTTTAACAGTGTAGAGGAACAAGCAGGGGTGGAAATAACCCATTGCCCAAACTCCGAGTCCAGTGTTTTTTTCTGTCGGACAAGCAAATTTGTATATCACACTGTACCGGTGTCCAGTTGACTTTCCAATGTTAATTATGTTATTCATTTAAAAAATCAACAAGAAAACGGTCGGTATAGTGGAAAAATTATCAGGGCAAGTGGTTTTACATGTGCTACTGTACCGGAGTCAACTAGCAATTTTAAAGTTATTTCCACCCCTGACAAGTGTTTTTCCTTGTATCCAAGAATCTTGTACACCTTGAATATGTACAGGTAACCCCCATCATCTGTGATAAATGTCTCAACAAGAAGACTGATGCCTGTCTGATGTTTAATTAGAATCAAACCCGGGTCTTCAGCATGACAAGTAAACACTTTAACCACTAGGCTACCCCACCGCCCCTGACTGATGTTTAAGTAATAGACCGAAACATATATCAATACATTTTTTATGAACAAGCTCTATATTCTAAAACTAGACTATAGTAACATCGTCTGGAACTAAGTAGAATGTGGATATCTTGAGGCTTGCAATAGTATTTGGATCTAATTATACTTTAAATCTTTAACTTTTAACAATTAGATTTTGGCTACTAGTGTTGGGAATCGGAAACCAAATCCACTATCAATTATTGGAGTACTTGTGGTGAACGATTATCGACTATAATTGAAATATATACATTTTTAATGTAATCACCAATTTTAAGGGTTTTTCCCCAGGTTTTTACTAATTAATGGGTTTTTTTAAAACTAATACTGTCATGCAATGAAAAGCATGCATGCAAGTAAGACACTGGAATTGTAATTCAACAATAAAAGTGGTTATACTTTTACAATGCGCATAGCTTTACGCTGTTGAGCGCATGTTTGTTCGTGAATATTCATCAAATTAAATGGTTAGTATACTTAATTCAAGGGTGTTATACAAAAACAACAAAATTCCGATTAATCAAAAAAATTTTTTTTACAATCGATAATCATTTTTTATCCTTCCTTCGATCGATTTTTAGAAAAAAATTATCATCGGAACACCAATATTGCTACCAAATGAGTCACAATCCATGTTACCAATACATATCAATTTTCACAACTCTGAAATGATATGCTACAAGCTTGCCCTCTATTTAATGATAAAAGATCATCTCATTCATGCTTCCTGAATTTTCAAATCTCAGGTGAAATAATATTTTTGAATCCTGGTGCATAATTTGGAACGTTGAATACTCTATTTATCTTATAGAAATATCTTCATCCAACCGATTTCCCAACATGTAACACTGGTACAATCTGAGTCCGGATCCAGCAGCCCGAACATATCATTTACCTACAGGGTACTGTCACCTCCCTGCCAGGAACACACCAGGTATAATTACCTGTAAGGTAATACTCTGCACAGATAGTTGAGTCAGTTCAGGAACATGAGCTAAGTAAGACTCTGTGTCTTTCTTTGTGCCAGTGAGTGGGGAATCCTGTCAAAGTGTTCTTGTCAGGGCTGTCTTTGTTGTCCACAAAACTTCCTTGTGTAATAAGGGCTATTGTTAGTCTACTTTAGGCAACACCCACATTTGATCGCAATTTATCCTGAAGGGAAGGTGAAGGTTAGTGATCTGTCAACTGAGTCCAAGTTGATACAAATTGTCTTACACACCTTGATTTGCAAATGGTGCATGTTGAATAAATTGTCTTTAGCTGTCTTCATTTAACAAATAACACAATTTTTTCTGTTTACCTTTATTTGTTCAAAATATTTTAAAAGCTTCAAAGCTGAACTCTGTTGGGTTATGGAATTATTCTCTTCTTCATTTTTTTTTTATATTATCTTTATCCAACTATTTTGTAATAATTTCAACAATATTCCTTATTTTATGATTCACCTTAAATAATCTCAGCACATTATCAAATTAACAGAATCTTGTCAATGACTGCATCACAGGTGAAAAAATAACCCATTGTAAATAATAGACAGCACTTCTTCAGAAACAGAACACAAATTTAAATACTGAGAGACTACTTTTTATTAATTTTCTGAGTTAATGTCAGACGTCGGTGGTGATGATAAAGTATAAATTAGGCCAGAATATAAAAAGTTTGAAATTTGCATCCCTGCTACCCCTACAAAAACACATCCCCAACCCCACCCAAAAAAAAAAAAAAAATAACAACAAAAAACTAACATCTTGGTCAGATTGTTGAGAAACAATATCATATAAAATTAGGTGTGTTCCACTGAAGAAGTCTTATGAATAAGCTGAATTTGAATGAATGTTATTTGACTGTATGTGTTTAAGCTGTAGTCCACACATAACATAGGCAGAACAATTGGGACCAAACAGACCTGTGGTCGATATTGTGAGCAGCTGGGTGCAGAGACACAAAATTCATCGGACCAAAGCTGAGGGTTAATTTTTCCTGTATATGGAGAGCCATTGTACAGGTATATTGAGTTAGAATTCAAGGGTTAAATATTATCACTGACTCTTGACCAGTACTCACCATGACAAGAACACATCAGAGAAGGTTTCCACACACGAGAACAGAGCAAACACAATCCAGTACATCATCCATTTCACCTGAAAAATATGAATAAACTTGATAATGCTGTCAGTGAGAAGTTTTGCTTAAACTTGGAAAACTTATAGTATTATCTGTTAGCATGAGTGGACAGTGTTCACAGACAAACCAAGGATGATTGGTATGACTATGACCATAATCACAGACAAACCAAGGATGATTGGTACGACTATGATCATAATCAGACAAACCAAGGATGATTGTCATCACTATGATCATAATCACAGACAAACCAAGGATGATTGGTACGACTATGATCATAATCACAGACAAACCAATGAAAATTGGTACAGCTACGATCATAATCAGACAAACCAAGGATGATTGGTATGACTATGATCATAATCACAGACAAACCAACGATAATTGGTACGGCTACGATCATAATCAGACAAACCAAGGATGATTGGTATGACTATGATCATAATCACAGACAAACCAACGATGATTGTCATGACTAGGATCATAATCACAGACAAACCAAAGATGATTGTCATGACTATGATCATAATCACAGACAAACCAACGATGATTGGTATGACTTTGATCATAATCACAGACAAACCAAGGACGATTGTCATGACTATGATCATAATCGCAATTCATCTGGTATTTGAACCCACAACCATCAAGGCCTTGGCATTGTTTTTAAAATATACCATGCAAGCTTATCATGTCCCCAATGGTAAATTTGAGATATACAGGGATGAGATCGAAGTTTTGAGAAAAACTCTGAAAACTAGTCGGGGGTTTAGCATCTATCGGATTTAGACGATTCACAAAATGACCCTTGGCCTTATGAAATTCCCGGATTTCCGCGGATCCGTGGAAAATTCTCAACCCTGGATATAAAGGGTTCCAAAATCTAAAAACAAATAATATACACCAGACAGGCCCAAGAACCCTAATACAATTTCAGACTAGTACTTGTGAGCAACCATTTACACAAATACACACACTGCCACATGAGTGCAATAATCCTATTTCACAGGAACTGTCCAGTTCTACACTACAGTTGTCAAAAGACGGTTTAATGTTCAGACTATCATCTATTGGTCTACTGGACTCCATTTCAACACCTCTAATATGCAGCTGAGCATAAATGTCATCAACCGTCTCTCCTCGTTTTGTTGAAAGATTTTTTAAACCCCACTTGCTGTCAACATGCTCACCTGACAAAAATCAGAGACAGGCTGAATAGAAGACCCAGGCAAGAAATCATGCATTCCAGCAAACCCAAGCATAAATCACTGTCTAAGGGCCATTCAAAGACAAATTTGACATTTGTATGTGACAATTACAGGAAAAGGATTTGAGATTGTTCTTACTACGAATTCTGAGCCCATAACCGAAGCCACATGGGTCTGTCTGCCATAACTTCATTTGCCTTGTGTGCTCAGACACTATTACTGGTGAGAATGTCTTGATAAAAGACATCTCCGGGAATAAAGAATGGCATTGTCTCTCAGGCCTTATGTATAGAGTGTTGTACGGTGCATATAATTTACATCAAAATGGCTACAACTGAGTTCTTGCTGAGGCAATGCAAGAATCTTTTTACACTCATGTTTTCTTCTGATACTTTATTCTTCTGTACCTTGGCAATTAGCTCACCTTGACATGCCAGGTACTGAAGCTCACCTAATTATGCCACGTTTTGTTTGGTTTGCTTGTTGTTTAACACTGCGTTCAACAATATTCCAGTTATATGGCAGTGGTCTGTAAATAATCAAGTCTGGACCAGATAATCCAATGATCAAACAGCATGAGTATCGATCTACCCAAATGGGATACAATGACATGGGTCAACTAAGTCCGCGAGCCTGACTACCCAACCCCATTAGTCACCTCTTACAACAAGTATGAGTCGTTGTAGACCAATTCTATTCTGGATTTTCATGGGTCATATGTGCCATGGAAGCACATATGGTATTGACATGGTATTGTTAATGACCTTGCTTCTTTAATATTCTGAGATGAAGTTCAAGCATTATAAAGTGGGAATTGGCCAAAGGACTTGGCCCAAGCAAACACAGAAAACCATTTCCTTGTTTGCCCATCATGATACTGCCGTGGCTTATCAGGTGTAGGGGCATGTCATTGTGTCGGTGGCTTATCAGGTGTAGGGGCATGTCATTGTGTCGGTGGCTTATCAGGCGTAGGGGCATGTCATTGTGTCGGTGGCTTATCAGGTGTAGGGGCATGTCATTGTGTCTGTGGCTTATCACATGTAGGGGCATGTCATTGTGTTGGTGGCTTATCAGGCGTAGGGGCATGTCATTGTGTTGGTGGCTTATCAGGCGTAGGGGCATGTCACTGCATCGATGGCTTATCGGGTGTGGGGGCATGTCATTGTGTCGGTGGCTTATCACATGTAGGGGCATGTCATTGTGTTGTGTTGTCATTGTGTTGGTGGTTTATCAGGTGTAGGGGCATGTCATGGCTTATCAGGGGCATGTCATCGATGGCTTTATCGGTGGGTAGGGCATGTCATTGTGTTGGTGGCTTATCAGGTGTAGGGGCATTGTGTGTCGGTGGCTTATCATGTAGGGGCATGTCATTGTGTCGGTGGCTTATCAGGCGTAGGGGGCATGTCATTGTGTTGGTGGCTTATCAAGTAGGGGCATGTCACTGCATGTAGGGGCATCACATCATGTGTCGGTCGGTGGCTTATCAGGCGTAGGGGCTCATCAGGCGTAGGGGGCATGTCATTGTGTCAGTGGCTTATCAGGTGTAGGGGCATGTCATTGTGTCGGTGGCTTATCAGGTGTGTGGGGCATGCCATTGTGTTGGTGGCTTATCAGGCGTAGGGGCATGTCATTGTGTCGGTGGCTTATCATTGTGTCGGTGGTGTAGGGGCATGTCAGGTGGCATGTCATTGTAGGGGCATGTGTGTCGGTGTGGTCGGTGGCTTATCAGGCGTAGTAGGGCATGTCATTGTGTTGGTGGCTTATCAGGCATGTAGGGGCATGTCATTGGCATCGATGGCTTGGCTTATCGGTGGTATAGGGGGCATGTCATTGTGTCGGTGGCTTATCAGGTGTCGGGGGTCAGGTGGCATGTCATTGTGTTGGTGGCTTATCAGGCGTAGGGGCATGTCATTGTGTCGGTGGCTTATCAGGTGTAGGGGCATGTCATTGTGTCGATGGCTTATCAGGTGTGGGGGCATGTCATTGTGTCGGTGGCTTATCAGGTGTCGGGGCATGCTTATCATTGTGTCAGTGGCTTATCAGGTGTCGGGGCATGTCGTGTCGGTGACTTATCAGGTGTAGGGGCATGTCATTGTGGTCGGTCGGGGACTTATCATGTGTAGGGGCATGTCATTGTGTCGGTGGCTCATCATGTAGGGGCATGTCATTGTGTTGGTGGCTTATGTAGGGGCATGTCATTGTGTCGGCTGTGGCTTATCAGGTGTCGGTGGCTTATCATGTAGGGGCATGTCATTGTGTCGGTGTCAGGCGTCGGGGCATGTGTCGGTGGCTTATCATGTCATTGTCGATGGCTTATCAGGCGTAGCGGCATGTCATTGTGTTGGTGGCTTATCAGGTGTAGGGGCATGCCATTGTGTCAGTGGCTTATCAGGTGTAGGGGCATGTCATTGTGTCGGTGGCTTATCAGGTGTAGGGGCATGACATTGTGTGGCATCAGCGGAGGGTTGGACAGTGGTTTTATAGGACAACTCCTGTCAGTTGTGTGTTCAGATACAAGACTTGTTATCATTTGCAAAGATAGCCCAGATGTCTTGCAGTCAAGTCTACTGCTTTAACCTACAAAGGATGTGTGTCCTCAACGCATTTGAATAAGTGCCCAAACAATATTCAAAACAAGAACTATGACATATAATGCTATAACGAAATCTTACAAAAATACACACAGAAATTGAAAATAATTTATTACAATAATACAAAACAAAAACATATGTTACACATTAAATTATCTTATGTTTATCTTTGCAGTACAAAAATGTGTTTGAAACCTATTCTATAATAAAGATCTACTTCCGATGAGGTTTACATTAAATTTTATATTTATCAATCAGTCAAGTCTGGGGATCTTGTAGTTTTAGCTACTGTATCTCAAGCAAAACATAATTCTTTACTTTCTTAAGACAAGTCCCTTTCCATTCAGAATTTCCAACTCTGCCATTCACATCAACTGAAACACAATCTTGTTTTGCATGAGGGTTTACTTTTTTCTCCTAGAGTTCCAGCTTGTCAGTTTTATGGCAAGCACTGTGCAAATCTTTCCAAATCTTCCCCAGCATCCTTTACCACCTGCATTGACGTGAAAATGCACAATCAACGAAGTCATAAAATCTCCGCTGCATTGTTGGGTTTCTGCCGAAAAATTTCATTTGAAAATAATTCCCATTTTCTTATCACTACGAGTGTACACCTGCACTCCATGGCAGAGATTAAGGCACAATCCCTTATCATGTTTTAGACATATCCCCGGACCTGACAGAACTTTATTACACATCAACTCTCTCTAATGTTGCAACACCTCTTTGAAGATTGAAATATATGACGTCCTTCTATTCCCCTCCCTGTGAAATCTTTTCATCTAAATGATAATGGCGAAGTTGGGTCTGTGCATACTGTACGTACATAGGTTACAAGCACTCGCTACTCTCTCTCTCAAAACAATTTGACAAGAAAGAAGTGGTGTAAGATTATATTAGCCCACCATAGCAACACCCACACTCTCTTTAAGTACACAATATTGAAACGGGACTGTAAAAATGAACTGGAAATGGTTCCAGCGAGTTTATAAAAACAGAAATACCATTTTTTAATAGAAGCAATTCAATACAAATTCCATTCCAAGAATAGCTCTCATACTTTGGTAATTCTGAAAAACGATAATGATTTATATTGGCATAATTTCTGTAAAGAATAAAAAGATTGTATGGAAATGTCATTCTGATCAGATGAGGTCAAATCCACAGGGAGTGTATCAAAACATTTCAGGAGATATATTGTACTTGTTGTTGCATATA